CCCTCTCCCTCCCCACACCTGGAGACTCAGACCCACCCAGGGCTGTGGACGATGGGCACAGTGGGGTAAAGGCCTGCTCCCCACAGCTGCTTCTGGGATACCAGACTGGGCCCAGAGTCCCCATCCGCAGAAGGGCCCGCAGGCCTGAGAAAGGAAAAGTCCCCAGGTCGCAGGGGAGGGGGTGTGGCTCGCCCCCTTCTTCCCTTTCTCTGCAAGCGCATTTACTTTCCCCCACACACAGGCGGGGCTGCAGGGCCCTTCCCAGTCAAACCCTGCAGTCCAGCTCTCCGGTAGGCCCCCCAGGGCAGCGGTTTCCTGGCTCTGGAAGCCCACTGGGCTCAGGAGGGGAGCCCCATGGGAGAAGGATCTCTTGCAGGAATGGCCTGGATTGGGGCTGGGGGTGGACAAGTGCCAGAGACACCTGGGTAACTTCAGGAGAGGAGGGAGGGGGAGAGGAGGGGACAGGAGAGAGGAGGGAGAGGGCAAAGGGGAGAGGAGGGAGCAGTAGAGGAGGATGAGGACAGGGGAGAAGAGGGAGGGGAAGATGAGGGAAGGGGGAGAGGAGGGAGGGGGAAAGGAGGGAAGGGGAAGAGAAGGGAGGGGAGAGGAGGGGACAGGAGAGAGGAGGGAGTGGGACAGGAGTGAGCGTGAGAGGAGGGAGGGAGAGAGGAGGGAGGGGGAGAGAAGGGGACAGGAGTGAGCGTGAGAGGAGGGAGGGGGGAGAGGAAGGAAGAGGGAGAGGAATGAGCATGAGAGGAGGGAGGGGGAGAGGAGGCAGCGTGAGAGGAGGGAGGGGAGAGGAGGGAAGAGGGAGAGGAGGGAGTGTGAGAGGAAGGAGAGGGAGAGAGAAGGAAAGGGGAGAGGAGGGGGCAGGAGAGAGGAGAGGAAGGGGGAGAGGGAGCGGGAGGAGGAGGGGAGGGGGAGCGGAGGGAGCTCACCCGCCGTGGGGTAGGGCGTGGGGTGGAAATCAGCCCCATGACAACACTAAGCTCAGCCAGGACTGCGATTCAGGATGTTTTATTTTCATGCTTTGTGTGGTTTTCATATTCTCCCCAAGACATAAGCATCACTTACAATCAGGAAAGATCCCTGATGAAAGTGCATAAAGGGATACAAAGCAGGCGATCTCACGTCTATAAACATGCTTACAGCACGGTGGCTGCAGTGGCTCACGCCTGTCATCCCAGCACTTTTGGAGGCCAAGGTGGGCAGATCACCTGAGGTCAGGAGTTTGAGGCCAGCTTGGCCAACATGGCGAAACCCTGTCTCTACTAAAAATACAAAATTTAGCTGGGCATGGTGGCGGGTGCCTGTAATCCCAGCTACTCGGGAGGCTGAGGCAGGAGAATCACTTGAACCCAGGAGGCGGAGGTTGCAGTGAGCCGAGATCGCACCACTGCACTCCAGCCTCGGCGAGGAGTGAGACGCCATCTAAAAGAAAGAAAAATGCTTACAGTAGAAACACACCAAAGTATTAGCTCTGAATCCCGCTCGGTAGTGAAACTAGATGTTGCTTTACGATTAAAAAAAAAATTCACTATGATGAACATGTATCTTCTTCACAAGAGGAAAAGTGAAGTTTACTCTGAGTCATCATTGCAGAGTTCCTGTGAGGCAGAGGCACCTCTGGGCCCCACCCCGGCCTGGAACCGCCCTGAGCCTGACCCCCTCGCTCAGTGCGGCCCCAGCCCTGCCTCCGAGAAGCGCAGGCCAGGCTGCAGCACGGGACCCGGGGAGGAGTCAGACCGTGGCCTGGAGCTCCGAGTGCTGCAGCCTGCCGTGTTGGTGTTATTCCCACGCCATCTCCACAGCTCCTGCCGCACCCGCCTCGTGAAGTGGGCACCCACGCTGCAGACCTGCTGGCGGTGCTGGTGGCGTACTGTGAACTGACTCACCAAACCACCTCTGCAAGGCAAAACAGGCCATCGGCCACTGGGCCCAGTGAACACGTCCCTGTGTGTCAGGGCGTCTGCATCTCTTCCGTTTTACAGGCCCTGCGTCAGCCACCTGCTGCTGTGTGCCTGTGGCGGGGCCCTCGCTGCAGGGAATGCCGTGTTCTTGGTGTTTGCTTACACGGCAGTTACTATTTCTTTTCCCAAATCTGCAAGCACTTCTTGCAGATAGAACAGCTAAGACTCGGGGAGGCCAAGAGAACACGGAGGTCCTAAAGCCCCTGTGCTTGAGTCAGGAGCCCAGAGGCTGGTGCCACAGCTCCAAGCAGGCAGCACCAAGTCTCAGCACCCACAGCCACAGTGTGGATGACATCAGTGGCAGGTAAATTGCCTGTATAGTAAGTGTGCAAGGCCAGGCACGGTGACTCACGCGTGTAATCCCAGCACTTTAGGAGGCCGAGGCAGGAGGACCCCTTGAGTCCAGGAGTTCGAGACCAGCCTGGGCAACATCGTGAGACCCCCCCTATCTCTACAAAACATAAAAAATTGGCTGGGTATGGTGGCACGTGCCTGTGATCCCAGCTACTCGGGAGGCTGAGGTGGGAGGATGACCTGAGCCCAGGAAATTGAGGCTGCAGTGAACTGTGATGAGGCGACTGTATTCCAGCCTGGATGACAGAGTGAGGCCCTCAGATAATAATAATAATAGGAAGAAGAAGAAGGAGGAGGAGGAGGAGGAGTTTACAACTTCTATAAAGTAGGTGTGGGGAAATGTTGAAGGCAATCCAAGAGCAGTCTGTGGAGTGGTGGAATTAAGTATGAATGTTAAAGGTTTTTTCAAATGTTTCTTTAACATGGTTTTTGAACATGGTTCAAACATGGTATGAACAATTTGTGTATGTTTTAAAATTATCAGACATTTAGGCGGGTGTTAGGCAAGTGTCAGCGGCTCCAGCTCTGGGAAAGCTCTTCCGGGACCTTCTGTGGGGCAGGGACGCGTCTGGCCCCATCTGGAGCCCACCCCCGGGTGATGCCAGGGACGTCCCCTCTCTCCTCTCTCCCTCTCTCTGTGTGTGTCTCTCTCTGTCTCCCTCTCTCTCTCTCTGTGTCTCTGTCTCTCTCTCTGTCTCTGTCTCTCTCTCTCTCTGTGTCTCTCTCTGTCTCCCTCTCTCTCTGTGTCTCTCTCTGTCTCTCTCTGTCTCTCTGTCTCTCTCTCTGTCTCTCTCTGTCTCTCTCTGTCTCTCTCTGTCTCTCTGTCTCTCTCTCTCTGTCTCTCTCTGTGTCTCCCTCTCTCTCTGTCTCTCTCTCTGTCTCTCTCTGTGTGTCTCTCTGTGTGTCTCTCTGTCTCTGTCTCTCTCTGTCTCTCTCTCT